TATTTACTTTATATATATAGTATTAAGCTTTTATTAAATTAAGGGTATAAGAAATAAGGGCGAGGGTTTTAATACGATTAAAGAATGGAAAAAATAGGTAGAGCTTTAAATAGGTTTAAAAGTGAAAGTTATTAGTTTAGATAGAGGAATAGAATTTGGCTTCGGTTCTAAGGATTTCTAAAAGGATAAGATTATTGTATAGGCAAGATAGGAGGGTATTGAAGTTATAAAAATACTAGTATATACCCTATAGATGAATAGCGTTCTAGAACGAGTAGGAAGGGCGATGATAGAGAAAGTAAGGGTTATAATCATCTAGTATAATATTCTAATAGAATTATAATTATTAATTGTAAATTTAATAGTAAAAATTATAAATTTTTTTCCGATAAAGGCTAATAATAAGTATATTAGTTTATATAAGGTTCTTAGTCGAATTATAGACATCCTGAATTCTAAACCTAATATTAAATATTTTAGAACGTACTATTATATAGTATATTACTATATTAAGAAGTAGAGACGAGTTTAGGGCGATAAATTTGTTATATATTCGAGAAGAGGCTATTTAGTAGGATATGCCGATCTGAATAGGAGGATCTTCTATATTTAGGACCCGGAGTATAAGTAATTTATTAAAACTAGTACGGTATACTTTCTGGAATTAGAAGAAGACTAGTTATTAGAGGAATAGGCTATTAATTATATAGTAGTATTTTCGGATTAGTTAATTAAAGATATTAATAAGGTTTTGAAGAGCGGGAAAGAAGCTTGGATTATAATAAATAAACCTAAGCCTATAGAAATACCTCTAAGGAAGGGAGTTAAAGTGAAAAATATAGAAGAGAAAGAAAGAAAGGAGGAGGAATATATTTAGCCAATTATAGATAAAACTTTAAGCTTAAAATTTATAGAACAATTAGGATTACCGATACCTTTACTTAATATAATATTAGCCCTAGGTCTAGAATTTCTACCGGCTCTAAATCTAAAATTTCTAACGCTGTTACGGATTCTAGTACTAGAAGCCCTATAAATACTAATACTATTACTATCTATCTAAACCCAGACCCCTACTAAACCTCAAACTCCTATTGAAAATTAATAATCTATTATAGGAATAAGAGACTCCGAGCCTCTAAATAACTCTGTATAATTAAATACTAAAATACAACTTCGGGTATTTTAGAGAGCGATACCGGCTAATAACGTAGTTAACTTAATTGAATAGGATGATTAGTTTTAATTATTTATTAATTTAGAGAATAAGGATAAATTCGAACCTTTCGATTATTCCCCCTTCGTAAATCTAAATAACTTGGATAAAAAAGACTTAATTCTATTACGAAGAAATATAAGGTGGTTATTTCTAAATCTTATAATTAATACCCTATCGAAGCTACTAAAAGACTCAACTCAAATAAGGAATTAGGAATAGAATAGAATAATAGAAAAGGATCCGGTAACAAATCAAACCACAAATATACCAATAATATCCTTAATAAAAACCGAAAAATTAAGAAAATAAGCCGCACTACAACCAAGTATATTAACTAAATAATAAATTATAATTAATAGCAATAACAAACCGATTAGAAATGTTCTAATCTTCTACTTTAGTCTTTGGGAAAGAGGATTAATGGAAATAGATATTGAACTCCTATATTTAATAGTAATAAAAGTAGAATATAATCTTTAAGAAAGAATTCCCAAGAATTATAAAAAAGTATAAAAATTGGCTAATTTTGTAATATACTAAAAACTAGTTATAGAAAAGCAGCTTCGAACTTTAGAAGAGAAAGAAATTTACGAATTAGTACTATTTAAGGGAAGTATAGATATTCTTCCTAGGAAGTGGGTATATAATGAAAAGGACAATTATAATTTAAAAATAAAGGAACCTAGAGTACAATAGGTTGTTTATAGTAATTTTAAACAAGGATCTTAGGATATAGAGGATGTTTATACGGCTATAATTAACGTAGCGAGCGTAAAGATCTTTTTAGCTACTATAGCAGTCCTAGACCTTAAATATTACTAATTTAACTTTAACACCGCGTTCTTAAATATATAAATTTTAGAAGGAAAAGTATATTATATAGAACAGCCTACCGGATTAGAAAAAGGATAAAGGGGGCTTCAATGCTTAATTTACCTACTAAAAAGAATTCTATATAGATTTAAGAGTAGTCCTTTCTATTAATTTTAAATATTTCTACTTATATTGAAAGATATAGGGTTTGAACTAATAAGTAACGATACTTACCTATTTAGCAATAGAAAGAAAGAAGCATTATTGGTCTTATATATCGATAACTTCCTTATTATAGCACCATCCACGACTATCATCTTCGAAATTAAAGACCAGCTCCTCCGGCATTTTAAACTTAAATATTTAAGGGAGGTAAAAATATTCTTAGGCTTTAATATCAACAGAGATCGAAACGAAAAGATAGTATTCATCTTACAAATTTGCTATATTAGAACCTTATTAAAGAAATTTAATTATAAGGATCTTTATAGTGTTAATATACCCTGGCCGAATAATATAAAAGTAGGAGATTATAAAATTGGTAATAAATTGCCGGAGTAATAGAAACTATACATTAAGAAGACCGGCAGCCTCAATTATTTATCGATAGGTACCCGACCGGACATCACTTTCACAGTTAATAAGCTTTACGAAGCCAATGCCAGACCAACTACAAGATTAATATTAATATTGAAATATTTATTTCGATACTTAACGAAATATACTAATATAAGAATAACTTTAGAAGGTAAAATATCGCTATCGAATATAAATTTAAAAATATTTAGCGATATTTTATTTACTAATAACCTAATAACCCGTCATAGTACTAAAAGATATATTATTTTTATTATAGGAGGATTAGTATATTAGAAGTCGAAGAAGTAAGTTTTCGTCACTACTAGTATAACCGAAGTAGAATTTACTAATCTTATTCTAACGGCAAAATTACTATAATAGATCTCTTAAATAATAGAAGAACTTGGTTACAAATAACTATCTTTGAAAGTATTATATATGGACAATAAGAATATTAGAGACCGGGTATTAAATCGAAAAATTCTAAGTTACAACCGCTGTATAGATGTTCGCTTTAAGTAGATTATCGAATAGGTTAAAGTAAAAGAATTTAAAATTATTTATATTAAGGGAGAAGATATAATTATAAATAGATTAATAAAACTTTTAAAAGTAAATAAATATACCTCTTTTATTAGATAATTTAAATTTGAGTAAAGATTAATATTATAGGTTTGAACGAATTTTGGGTAAAAGAAGGATTGGAAGTAAAAAAAGGAATTAAATTGAATAATCTTTAAATAAAAAGAAAGGAATTTAATTCAATTTATTTTATATACCCTAATTAAATACTTTATAGTATACCCTTTTACAAAGTAACCGTTAATAGTACCGAAAAATAGTACGTCTTACGGCGGTCTTACGTTTCCTATTCCCCAGATTGGCTATACATGTAGTTAATACTAAGATTTGAAGATAAGAGGAATTTGAAAGTCTTTAAAGTTAGTAGTATAATAATTGAACGTTTAAAGAAAAGATAAATTACAAATAGGGAATTAAACGCACGAACTCTCGAACTTATATTAGTAGCGGCTATAAACGTCCTACACAAACCGCTATACTACGGGCGTCCCTATAGCACCCCGGGGGGGGTTAGTAATAGTAAAGTAGTTTGAAGTAGACTATATAATTTAATTAGAACTTTCTAAACTATTTTAGGAAGTACGGATAGATTATTGAGGGTAATAATAACTCTTATAGTAGAAGGGTTAAATTAGCAATATTTTAGCTAGTATTTTACCCCTAAGTAGGAGTTTGAATGCTAAACGGCTTTCCGTCTTAATACGGACGCTAAAAAATTTTAGACGAGTCTAATTGGCTGTACTAACCGATAGAGAGAAAGGGCCCACTTTAGATTGGAAAAGGGCAATTAGTAAAGATTATACCTTAATTAATAAGAGTAAGAGGAAGGATAAGTCTATAGAGCCGTTTCGGGCTACGGGGGGGTATTGTAGTATAGTATGGAGCGTCCAGACTGCTATTTACTGGTATTGGGCCTGCCCGAATTGCTCGGTCATATGTGGGGCCCATTAGGGCGCTACTACTATATATTTTAACCCTCTACAATTCTTTTCCTTTCTCGTTCTTAGCTTAGGACAATCAACACACTTCTTGTGCCCACGAGTCCAAGAGATGGCCGAGCGCTAATTAATCTTTCTTTACGGAGTGTTATGTGATCTTCATCTCTACCTTCGTCACTTTCGATCGATGCTCCATGAAGCGGATTCAGGAAGCAATTACTACCGTTAAGGAAGTCATTCCGGTAAAGCATCAGGCTCTTCTTCTCTCGATTTCTCTCCGTAGTTTTTGACCCAAAGAGTTAATTCTTTGCTTTCCTTTACCTCGTGTTCTGCCTCAACTGTCAGCAAAGCTCTCTGAATTTGCTCTTTTGAAGCCCGTTGTGACTGGAATGGAGTCAGTGGATGACACCCACAAATGAAATTTAGAGTCAACCCTAGTCAGGTCGAACTGGAGAGTCACTCGCAAACTAAGGGGCAGAACTGTTGTCATAGAACAAGCAAACTTCGATCGAAGGAGCAGATGAGTAAGAAGGAAGAGTCTTCCGCAAAAAGTATAAAGAAGCGTAACCGTCCTTTGTGTCTGCAGATTCCTTTAACATCCAGCCATATTTATTGAGTATGTAGAGCTTGACCGGCAGTAAGATGAATCCCATGATTAATAACGGGCACTTTGTCTTTCTAGTTTTCTTTACCAAGAGTTTTCTTCCCCAAGAATTCGAGTATCGACAGTTTCCCTGTCTTTTTTTTTTAAAAAAAAAAAAAATAAAAAAAAATCTTCCAACCATATATCTTTCAGCTACTGAGGTGTTTGGAACCCTTGCGCAACAGCCTTGCGGTCCTTCCTCCTTTTTAATGATCAAGTCCATGTTCTAATAGTCTGCCGCGTACTCATCATGCATAAAGTTGTTCTTGCTAACATATTGTTTGTCTCTCTTTTTCTCTCTCCTTTTTTTTTTTTTTTTTTTTTGTTTCTTTTTCCTATTTTTTTCCCCACATGACCTTCCATTATAACTCTGAATCGTCACAGCAGACGGTGAATTCTGCATCAAATTACTCACTTCAATCGTCCATCAGGGCTGTTCGGCGTGAGCCGACAATGCGACTAAAAATACATGGCCCGCAACGGTGATTTTAAGACAAACCGTACCAAGTCCCTCGCTTGCATTGGGCGAATCTCGGCAAGGTGAGCCATGCCAAGGCGGAAGAGGCAATCAGTCACTTGCTCGGGGAGACTGTTGGATACGTTGGCCATGCGGCAGGCCAAAAGGGTGGAACGAGCCGGGAGGTGACTCTTCCAGTCCGAAGCATCGCCCTCTTCCTTCCAGACACTGATCGTCTTCACATCCTGATTGCGAATGCCCTTGACCATGGGCAACTCCGAGTAGGTGACCTTGCGGACGTAGTTGAAACGGGCGTGACTAACTTGGTTGTAGAGACGACCGAGGGCCTCTTTGGTGTCGTTGTATAGGATGGTGGCACTCTGGTGCTCCTCCGCCAGCCCGAGGAGTTCGTTTCGGAGACGATGAACGGCAATAGAGCGACTGATCAAGTTTCCTCCGATCAGGTCGGATTTGCCAACGGCGAGGAGTCGCTCCTGATCTTCCTCCGTGAGGTCGACGATATCGTCGCAAGCACCTGACGGACCACCACAAACCCAAACCTGTCTGGAGGAGGTTCTCAACAGAGATCGTTGTTTCATCTCAAAAAACATTATCTTTGCATATGACTAGTGGATTGGGGGCGAATCTGGTTATAATTTGGCTGTCTTGCAAGTCACACAATAGTCTGGACTTCGTCGGATCCCAAGTAATCTGATGTAGACAGCTTCTCCGATTAAGATGAGCCCACTTTCTATGATGAACACGCTCTTCATGATCAACCCGGTATTTATTAGTAACCCGACTGGCTTAACACCGGAACCAACACATCATTCACATCGGCAAGCGACAAAAGCGGCTACTCTTGTTGAATGACCACGGCGAAAGCCGGGGGAAGAGGACCTCAACACAAGGTTGGAAAACTGGAGGCTATAGGGTTGTCTTCAGAGACCCATTCGATGACACGGTTCGGTTTGTGTCTCGATATGACAGCCCTGGTTGACGGCTCTTTAGGAAATTGGCAGTTGCAAGTTTGTTAGCGCATGGATCTCTTATTGTAATCAACTTTTCTCGGTAGTCGTTCCTTCCTTATAATGAACGTAATAGCGAGAACCAGAGCAAAATGACCACTGAGGCTACGTCACACGGGCGGCCAGACTGCCTCCATTTCTAAGCAACTTTGACTGAAATTTGTGCAGACCAAAGCTTCCCAGCAAGAGCGACCAAGAGCCACCAGACAGCCGAGCAGTCGCTTAAAATCTACATTGGTAGCAGGACTACCTAGTAAGGATAAATCGTGCCAGATTCATGTCCTACAGAAGTGGCATTGCCTCCAGATCGTACTGAACATCACCTTAACAAAATGGAAGAATGGTTATGCCCTCTTGACTGGCTAGCCCCCTTCGAGCCTTGAATGTCGAGTCGAGACCAAGCGCAGATTGGACTCGACATCCACATCCATGGTAGGAGAGATGGGATTCGCAATACCCTCCAACAAGGTATACGGAGAGCAAAACGCCGGCGGGCTGGGCTGAGGCAGGGGCAGAAAAGCTGTTAAGGTCCGGGGATCCTCATACGCGCTACGGATTTCACTCACGACGAGAAGAGGATACCAAACGAGCATTTCAGGTTTTGTCATCTTGACCTACTGGACAGCTTCAATGAAAAATAGCCCTTCACGCGTCCTTTTGAGAAGATTTCATCTTTCATCGCAACTTTCCCACTGCTCCTTCCAACATTTTCGTTCGTATAAACGCCACGAAGTGGCCTTCACCACGTCCAAGAATGTTCTTTGCCCTTCTGAAGGGCAGGAACTCCACCAAGAATTCCAAAAAAAAAAAAAAGAACAATTCACTGCCATGAATGAGCATCAAAAGCTCTCATCCCATCCGTTTTCGATGTCCAAGAAATTCTTTGGCCTTCTGAGCGGCTGGAACTCCACCAAGAATTTCGGAAAACTACAATTCACTGTCCAGAATGGGCACCAAGAGCTTTCATCCCATGCCTATACCATTCACGATACGCCCATTTGGTTCTCGCATTCACCTGCCGATTTCAAATTGTGGGAACCATGGAATTTGGGTATAAAATATACTCCTGGATCAGCAGTTCTCGTCCCTCTTCTCCTGTTCAACCATCATCAACTTTGGGTTTTCAAGTTACAGGCAAACTGGCAATTTGGGACTCTCAACGAGCTGTCTCGTAAACATATGCAAAGCAGTGACAGACCCATCAATCATCATCATCTTCACATTCTCGATTGACAAAATTCGATATTCATCAGCAACTGCCACGTCCGCAACTCCATTCTAGGACGTTCCTTTTCTGCAGATCAGTTAGGAAGGATAACAGTTTTTTGCTCTCAAGCTAAGCAAAAACAGCGGAATCGAAGCAAAGCAGCAATCATAGTAAGTAATCAATCTTTGGTTGGTGATGACGATGAAGTTATGCCACTGCTATTAACCGACCGGCTTCGGTGTTGAAACGAACGCTAACTGACTAGTAGTTCAACGATCAAACATCCGCATTATATATTTCTCTTCGAAATGAGTTCACACAACAGTTCCCAGAACAATCCCCAGGCGGGTTCCTCCCTTGGTGCCACTGGAAGTGGCCGGCGCGAGTTCCGTCCTATGGACGCTGTCGTCGTCGAGCGTGGTCCTCTTACCGAGGAAGAGAAGGAAGCGCGGAGAGCGCTGGGCTTCTCAGAAAATTACATGGGAGATGCAACAAACGAGAGGAACCGGTCAGCAAATATCCCTGACAACCTCAATTGTTCACTCTACATTACGGGACTACCTATCGACATTACGGTGCGACAGATTTTTGACGATATCCGTAACATCGGAAAGGTCTACTCGCTGCATATCTCGCCAAGAGGAGACAGCCACTCACGAGCTGCGGCTGCAATTGTCTTCTTCACGAGAGCCGCTGCAGGTAAGCATCCTCCAACCACCCATCGTACTCCTCTTCCAGACACTAATGATATCTATGATGTACAGAGCGGTTCTACAACCGTTTTTCTACCCGGGACAACCCGGCCGTCCGCTGGGGCGGTACCGTTGCCCGTCCTGGACGCATCCTCGGACGTCTACCCGTAAACGTGGTGTGGAACCAGGTCAAGGCAGCTCCCTGTACCGACAGAGAACATGTGACCAGGGTTATTCAGGTTGAAGGACCGTCGGACATCGTCAACGAGGAGTTCCTCCTGTCGTACTTCCGCACGAAGTGCCGTTTCGACCTTGAGAAGATCCTCGTGCTCTCGGAGGAATATCGCGATGTACATGTGTGTGGAGGACAACCTCCCGCCAATCCCGCTGCTCCTATTCCCATAGCGCCTGCTCCTGCACCCGAGAAGCGCCAGAGTCGAGCCCTGGCATCAAATAATTGGCGAGAGCGAGCCAAGCCAGCTTCTGCTGAGCCAGAGGTCCAGCTGGAGGCCCAGGAAAGAGCTGCCGTCCCCACCGAGCGCAAGCACTATAGAATCATGGAGTTCTATTTCGGGACTGTCAAGGGCCAGGCACTGGCCTGCAGGATGTCCCTTGATTGGGAGTTCAAGGCAAAGGGTGTTCTTTGCCGCTATGGTAAGTCTTTATCAGGCTCTTGGTGCACTGAACAAGATGAGTGTCGGTGAAAATATATGCTAACATCACCTTCCCCGGTGTGTAGGCTATGATCCTTGCGGTCCTTAGAAGATGGTCAGTGGAAGAACGTGTCACCAGTTTAGACATAACGAGAATCACGATGCTGGGTAGTATGTTCTCGAAGGTCTGTGTTCAAGACTTCATGGAGGATAGAGGATATGGGAAAGGAAAAGACGTTGGAAGGTAAAAGGACAATGGCGTCACGGCGTTCAGAAATAATCAGCTGTGAATGTTAGCATTCTTCAGAATAGAATCATCACAAGCACGCACAAACCACTCCTGTTCCCCAACCCCATGCTTTCATAGGCCGGGCTGCCTGCAGATGCATAACGTGCGATCGGTCCGGTGAAGTAGACTTGGTGGTGATGAAGAAAGAAACATTGAAAGGGCGGAAGAAGAGGAGAAAGAATACAAGACTCAATCTCGGGTTGCAAGATGAACAGGTGAACTGATGAAAGGAATCTGGGAGTGTGAAATCAAGTTCAAGGGTTGCAGGTGACGGATGAAGTTGGCGTGAACGAGAGGCGTGACGATGGAGGACGAGATTGATGTGAAAAATGCTGCTTCCTTGCATGGTCGAACTATCGATCTTTGCTCCAGCGGCAGGTTCGAGTAAGCAATCATGTGAAATATGTCGAGTGTCCAAAGCAGGTGCGGCTGACATTCAAAAGAAAATTACCTAAAGAAGCGGAAAGGAGCGAAGGAGCCAGTCATGCATCCAATTGCCTGACAAGCACAATGACGTTTCGACTGGATCTTCGATCGCTGGGCGGAATTCAAGATTTCCATGCCCCTGGTGAATCCTTCAAGAAATCTGCATCCCGCACATCAAGTGGCTTGGGGCTTGAATCCTACTGCTACCATGCGTTAGATATGGCAGTAATCATGACAGCTTGGAGGTAGGCAGAATTTGCTATCCTGGCGAGCCGGTCGTCGAAATAGGAATTTGAAGTGATCAGTTTGCATGCTTTGTAGCGAACAAATCTGTTTGGTGATTATTGAACAGCCGGTGTTGGTTTCGATACACGATGTGAGGTTGTTAGGTGTGCTCGAGCGTGATCGAAAATGCCTAGTGTTTTTCAGCCACACAGCAACGCAGCATTGCGGCGTTGTTTCCCCGTGGTGCGGCTACTACTTGACTGCAGCGCTTTTCGCTTTGCTGATGTTACTCCCGTCCGGCTATGCGGGGGTGACCAGGTGCGAAAATTCGGTAAGTGGGAGCGGGATGGATTCGCTTGCTTGCTTCTTCTTCTGGTGGTGGTGGTGATGGTGCCGTGATGACGGCGTCGTCGAGTTCTTGGTACCAAAGGGGGGTCTGTAGATTCTTAATCATACGAGTGAGATTATATAGTAAGGTAGTCAGTCATACTTCTCATGTCATGTTGGTGAACGGCAATCGATCCCGGATATCTTTGTTGTCGCTTTCTTCGAGATGGCTGTCTGCAGAAGTTGATCTTGAGGATACACCAGGGCAGCACTCAGATTCCGGCATCGAGATTCGGCAGCAAAGCTTGGAAGAGATCGCTTCGGCGGCAGTGATGAGCGGGTGTGATCTAGATATATATGTCAGAAGCGAAACCAGCGTGGCACTTGTGCATCCTAAGCCCCCGACCCGGAGCGTTTAGTTCTGTGACACCCAAGGTATGATTGGTCCCATTGTGCGATTCTCTCCGCGTTTGAGCTTCCCGAATGGGTTGCTTACCGCAAGTCAGCATTAGTTGAGTACGAGAGTGGCCTTATGAACCTCAGTGATACCCGTTGGTACGAGTTGACATCGGTGTCCGGCAGTTGAAACGGATAGACCCTTTCATGTATCGTACGTGATACAAGGGGCTTCGTTATCAGCCCCTTGGAGACTGACCACCAGGAGCAGATTTGACTCGGATTACTCCAGTTAACTGCTGTGATGGTGGAAGCCTACTGGCGTTGTGTCAGATGCCATATTTGGTAAATGTTTTTAAGTGAATCCATTCGCTTGTATGTCGGTGTCGATGGCTGTCCTAAGCATTTCCATGCTGGAACATTGGGGGATTCTAGACACTGCATGTTGAGGTAACCATAGAAATCCTTCCGAACATTGATGTTGTGAGAGGCGCCACGAAGTGGATGGGGTCGTCGGCTAATAAGCGCGAGACATGATATAGAAACGAAGGGCTGGGGCTGGCTGGAGATACAGTCTTGAAGTGATGCATGAGATACGGGTACTCTATCCACCTAACTGGCACGCGTATCTTCAGGTGCCAGCAGCTTGAGGACTCCTATAAGACAGTTGTTTAACCGAGTATCATAGCCACACTTTGTGAACACGGAGGGTTTGGGCAACTCTTATGTCTAAAGAGCCGCTTGCGTGCTCTCAAAGTCGTACCCCCTTACGCAGGTCCAGACCGGAGCTCTGCTTGGCTCATGTGTTCTGGCTTGAATCGGAGATGTCGCACACAAGATCCTTGCAGCCATAGATCTTGACCTCTGCCGGGGAAAGAAAAGGCTAATTGTTGTGAGTTCGTCGATGGTGTAGATCAGTGGCAAAAGACAAACACCTACAGAAGATTAGCACTCATACCAGCATAAAATCCTAGTTTTCTGTGAGATGGAAGTATCACGCTGACCGTTTTTTCTTCTTCTCTCGGCAGAGGTGTTGATGGCGGGCCGTTCTGCTCTTCATGACTTCCAAAAAATTTCTTTTGGCCGGTAGAACCCGAGGACAGTCCAAGGGTGAGTAAGGCGTGGCGGCATGGGTGGGCGCCTTTGTGACGTGCCGTCGATCATATGAAGCTACCCACGTTTGTAGTGTACTATGCATAGTAGTGTAAATGTTGTACTTAACCTCGGGGGATCTCAAAACGGAATATGATGTCGTCGTCTTACAACATGGAAACGACGATTAAGCTTAAAACCACCGACAACACCATGGTGGGATCACCGCTCCTCGAATAACCTGACAGGAGACCTGGGAGAGTCGTCGATATCAATGCCAAGAAGCACAATGTTAACCCAACCCCAGGCTAATGTCAAGATGACAGTTGACTTCGAGAAGCACAAGGCCAACACGACAGGGCCGCGTTGACTCATGCATGATATGCCTGGTTGTGATGAACTTGGAGATAAGCAGGACTCCGCTGAGTGTCAGCCATGATCCTCGACGTCGTTTACACCACGATGGCAAACAAGACAGGCCATGATGCGCTGCTGTTGTGCTCGCCGACCAGCTCGGAACGAGCACCGCCGTCTGAATGGTAACAATGTCAAATCAGATCAGCGGTTGTGGGTGTCAAGTGGACGCAGGTTCTGGCCCAACGGACTCAACAGCATCTGGAAGCTTGATGATGGTTTTTGTGGGGAGAAAACCACCTTCATCGATTTGGCCACCAGAATGTCACCGAATTCCACATAAAAACGGCAGTAGGGGGGGTTATTGGAAGGATGTGGGTCGTAGGGTGTTGCCCCTCGGCAGTGTCCGAAGAACTTGTCAGGCCCATCGCACTGGAAAGACATTGCAAGAGCTGGGCTCCTGGGGAGCCTGTGATGCGGATGCTGTGGTTGGTCAGGGGCAGTGACCCCTTGTACCGGCGCTTGCATACCTGTAAACCAAACATGTTAACAATTTCAGCGACCCCCGGGTCTGATTTTCCAGCTGCCCAATTGCCGTCCCCATCGCCCCGCACCATGTTTTGATTTCTTTCAATCTGCATCACCACATCGCACACTCCGCCGGCTTTCTTTCCAAGGATTGCTCCAGCCTTATCCCCTCTGGAGCAACTTCGGCTTGCCACCCCCTTTCATTCGCCTACATAACCCCCCTTTCTCGACCTGTGACCATGTCTTCCCACAGCCGACTTGTCGTATCATTGGCATGCTGTTATCCCAAACTGGGAGACCGCCCGAAGTATCAATACACTATTCATCAGCAGCGTTGCAGAAAAATTTCACAGAATTTGCCAATCGTGATAGCCGGGGCCCTTGTGCGTTCCGGTCTTACCTAGTAGCATCTATGTTGGACCATCAAGTCTATAATGATATAAGCTTTGGGACCTCCCAGTGCTTCTCACCATCGTCCATGTTTCTTCTGTTGTGAACTTCTACCAAAAACATACATTCAACACCACATGAATGGGACCAAGCTCAAAGAGTAAGATCTTCACTATACACACACGAACTGCCGCAACAAATCTTCCGGGACATATCCACTCTTGCTCGACAAGAAACTAGGGTCACCAAGCACAGCAAACGATCATCTGCCAGACTCACATAACGACAATCGCCACCGACGGCCTCGATAAAATCCCCGGACGGGGTCCTCCGTTCAAATTGATGATGGCGCAACAACTCTACCTCCAACTTCATTACTCTGGCCTCAGCCCTACCACCGAGTTTCACTCACCCACGACAAACTACGACAGGACATCGTCATCGTCCTTGTCACCATCCCCTGTGATGACTGTTGGTACAGTCTTTAGGCCAACCAGACCTGAGGACTGGGAGCCATACCGGGATCTGATAGCTCATCTGTATACGACGATGAAGCTGAAGGATGTCATGAATGAGATGCATACAAGACACAATTTCAAGGCAACGTAAGTCTGTGCTTACGATTTTAAAAGTGTATCTCCAAAAGAAAAAGGAAAAGGAAAGAAAAGCTAACAATAATCGTTAGCGAGAAGCAGTATAAGACGCAGATCAAAAAGTGGAACCTGGACACCAAGTACACCAAGGCGTCCGAATACATGGCCATGATCAAGACCAAGAGGCGACGAGAAAATGAAAACCCACCAAAACAAACACGCTTCATTCTCCGAGGGCGACCCGTGGATCCAAAAGACATCAACCGGTTCGAGAAGCGGGCATCCAAGAAGGGAATGATAAAGGATGAAGAGCTCGCCTACAACGCCAAGGGTATGCCCCACAACAATCATCATTACGGTTGCTGCCAACAAGTTAACACATTCGGGTATGAAGAAGCAGAGGATATTGAAGATCTGGTTTACATCACTCCCTCACCCTCACCAGAGCCGAACTTTTCATCATGTAAGATCCCACTCGGTACTCACCGAGATCCCCTGACCAGCATAAACAATTGGAAACTAACACAAACTTTCTGGTGCCACAAAAAGACGCCCCTCCCCCACCTCCAACACAATACCAAACAACCGAATACCATGAGCAATAGCAATTAACGGGAGTGGGAGCTCATCATCAAGCACCCACGACGGACGATCTCATCGGGGACTGGCTGGCCCGCGGGAGATTTGCTACCACTACTAGTGCTAGCACCTCTCAGGAATATGACCACCAGCAGCAGCCTCAGTCAGCATACCCGTCGTATCCATCGTATACCCATCATCAGTACACGACGGCGGTCCAGAGCACTCATTCCCATATACAGCAGCAGCATCAGCATCAGCATCAGCATCAGCAACAACAACAACATAATCATCATAACCACCATCACATCTACAATGATTATAGCAGGCGATGATTGTAACGATGAAAGCAGAAACGAGGACGACCAACCTCAAGCTTCGCTCAAGAGTCGCAAGAAGCGAGAAGACAGGATAGCCTCTACGCCTGACTGCGAAGTACATCACCTCATTCGACCATTCTAACGTGGTCAACCCCTTCTATCCACACACACCACCGCAGTCACTTCACCTCCGAACACGCCACCAACCCACCACCAGAGGTGCTGATGACCAAAAAAAAACTATGCATATATAAATAGAAATAGACCTTTCTCAAGTCAAGACAATCGTGCTTCACTAACAAAATAAAATGATACCACGCAGTTTTTGATACCACAAATGCTTCGCTAGAAACTTTGCCGTGAAAGTCGTGTAACCAATTAAGATAGTTGCTCCCATTTAACCATCCAAAATCGGAAAGAAAGGAAAAATACCGACTCACGAGAAAAGAATTTGCCATGGAACGAACGGTCCCAGCTGACTTCTGATCTCCGGCATGCGAACCAGAACGGAAACGGCAACGGAAACTTATGTACGCAGGGAACATGTGTCAGTCCAGGTCCAGTCAGCCCAGTAGTGTACCCGGCGTCTTTGGGAAAGTTCCACGCATATTACTAGTCCGGAGACGGTGGTTTTCCGTCGGGGGAATAGCGGGGATGGGCACAGAAAGAGAGAAAGAGGGTAAGGGGAGGTACAGAAGTTCTTCTTCTTTTCAAATTTCTTTTCTTCTTTTCAAATTTCTTTTCTTCTTTTTTATTTTATATTTGACATCTCTTGTTCTGTCTTGAGGCGCGGAGTGAGGGGGCATGTCCTGGGACAAAATAGATGAGACCAGCCAACAGCTTAGGGAAACCAGCCTGCTGCCACCGCTCGTCAAGGAAAAAAAAAAAAAAAAAAAAAACAGAACAGGCCGTTGCAAAAGTGTGATGGGGGTTACAACAATTCGAAGAGACATCGGCTAGAGTCCCATTTGGATATTTCTATTCAGGAATGGCCTAGAACTCAAGATCAGAGGTGTTAGAAAGACGCTTGGATGCGTAGGAGGAGTATACCCACGGTATAATGTCAAATATCTCACCTAATTTGTCCACGATGAGGGGGAGCTGTTTTTATGGTGGCGTGTACAAGAGATCATCAGATGACTTTGTGGGGATTCACCAATTTCAAGTTGAGAACAAGTCTACATTCACTTGTCCTGAATTATACTACATCTCAGAACCCGATGTGTGTATAATTATACACTTTCGCTGTGTATGCCTGAGCTGACTTCAACAGCCGACAGTGTGGGGCGTTACGAAAGCGCAAGCGCCTTTGTTGAGGAAGAAAAAAATCCAAAACCCCTCCACCCCCCCCCAAAAAAAAAAAAAAAGAAAAAAAAACATTACACCTACACAGATCACTCGAAGCAGGAGCAAGTACCTACGTGGCAACATCATAATTCACGAGCTTCACGAGATCGACACAATGAAGGTATCTTCAAAGATACAACCGATGCATAAAATTCTCATGGGTTACTGATATCAAAATAACGACAAACTCCAGGACTGCCTTGGAAGTAATCCTTTGTACCTTCCTACTCAACCTTCCATGATAAATGCTAAACTGCATTACAACCAGTCCGTGACTCCCCCGTCTGTGTCATTTTCGTCCTCCGAATGGGGTAAATATTTCCCAAAATTTCCATCCTCTGCAATTAGGTTGTGAAAGTTCTCGTCACTTCATCACACAAGTCATCAACGTACCTTCGCCGTATGGTGAAGGTATCGAATATTTCTTTGATAGGAGACATGGGGTATCACGAGATCAGGTGAACTTAGAGCTCCTCCTTGATCTTGTCGCCAACCTTCTCGGCGCCCTTCTGGTAGGCATCAGCACCTTCCTTGACCTTGTCGCCGGCCTTGATGGCCTGCTTCTGGGCAGCATCAGCACCAATATGAAGCTGACCCTTGATCCAATCCCAACCGGCCTTCGCGCTCTCTCCGATCTTAGCAAAGACGGTCTCGGTCGGTGTCGAGGTTCCGTACTTGAAGTAAGTCCACTGACGGCGGGCCAGAGCACGGAGCTCGTTAAGAGTAGAACCTTGGGGGACAGGCTGGTAGATTGTGTTAGCAACTGTTGCGTATTGAAAGGGTAATATCAACTTACTACGCCATAGCTATCAAGGTAAGCCTTGAGATCGCTTTCACTCCAGGTATCAAAGGTCTGGGCCTTGGCAGAGTCAGTAGCCTTAGCGAGGTAGCTAGTAACTGAGGCGTAAGAATCGCCACCGGCAGCGGAAGCAGAGGCATATCCAGATTGAGCAGCGGCGAGCAGCTGGTCACGGGTAACACCGGCCTGGTTGGCGACCTTCTTGCTGGCGGCATCACCGTGGGCGAGAATATAGTCCTTCAAGTTGTCATAGGTCCAGTCATCGAAGGTCCAAGCAGTGTAACCAGAAGCAGCCTTGTGGGCATGCTTACGGGCCAGGGCGCGGAGCTCATCAATCTTGGAAGCCTGGGGGACGGGGACACCGCGAGCGTCGAGATAGGCCTTGAGGCGAGTCTCAGACCACGTGTTGATAGCCTTGTCGAAAGCATCCGCAGCAGCCTGGGAAGCGGCATCAGTGGCCTTGGCATAGTTGGAGCCGATGTTAGAGGTAGCAGCACCAAAAGCCGAAGAAGCAGAAGCAGAAAGGGTATCACCAAGGAGATCGGCGCGGTGCTTGCGGACAAGGGCACGAAGCTGGTTGAGCTTGGTGCCCTGGGGTACGGGAATTCCGTTCTTGTCACAGAAGTCCTTGAGCTGGGACTCGCTCCAGGCATCGATGAGCTTGTCGGTCAGGGTCGCATAAGCAGCTTGGGCGCTGGAGGTGGCACTGGCCTGTTGTTCCTTCATGCGGAGATAGGCAAGGCGGGAGTTGCGGCGAACAGTAGCGATAAGCTTGTCTCTCTGCAATGATGGTTAATGTTTGGTCGAGATCTACAGTCACGCATATCAACTTACAGTAGTGGGCTGGGGAGCAGGGATGCCATGGGTATCAAGCCACTCCTTCAAGTCAGACTCAGACCAGGTCTCATACAGCCAGTTGCCAGGGTAGGCAGCAGTCTCGCCAGCCTTTTGAGCGATGGTCTCGTAGCTAGAACGGGCCTTCTCGAGAAGGGTATCACGCTTACGGGGCTGGGGGACTGTGATATTGTTAGTACCTTAAGCGGATTTGCATAAGATGCGAGTACGATGAAGCTTACCTGGGATGCCATGGCGGTCGCAGAAGGCCTTGAGCTGGCTGTCAGTCCACGAGTCCAAGATCCAGTCCTTCACGTTGAGCCAGGAGTTGTGAGCCTTGTCCTCAGACTCATACCAGACACCCTTGACCTGGTCGATGAGAGAGTCCTTGGTGGAACCGGCGGAGTCCTTGGTCTCGATTCCCTTCTGCTTCAGGTAGTCGGTGAGCTTGGCAGTATCCCACTCCTTGTAAGGAGCGACCACCTGGTTATCCCAGTTGGACTGGACGAGCTTCTCAAGCTCCTTGCGGTCCGCGGGTGTAGGATAGGGGACATCGTGGTCGGAAAGCCATCTCTCGAGCTCAGTCTCGTGCCATTTGTTGTAGGCTGTGAAGAAAAGATCAGTCAGCGGGTGTCTGGCTAACAACAGAAAAGCGAGATTACGCACCAGCATTGGAAAACCACGAGCTGCCGTAGACAGCGTCGGCCACGAGGGCCAGGGAGAGGAAAGTCTTTGCGATCCTCATCGCGGACTGAGTTTAGAGGTACGTTACTATTGTCGGGGTGAGCAACGAAGACGGCGTGGTCGTGAGGTTGTTGTTTGAAGATTATGCACACAGATGGTGAGAGTATGTGGTTGGGGGTATCAAAAGCTGAGTCGTGTTCCAGTTCAGAAAAAGCAAAAGAGGAAGTCAACAGAAGAGAAGGTTAAATCGGCAGAACTTGTTTTGATGTTTGGTGTGCCCTGGGATTCCAGAAGACAAAGGAAGGAAGGAAGGCAGCTGCTGCGTTGGTCAAAACCAAGGGACTGAAGATCCAAGTGAAAACGAGGGGCGGTCATGGACGTCACTCCTGCCCGACTGGTGCCAGGCATTGTGTCGCGTCCTTGTTCTTTCACAAAACACAACAAACAAGCCACAACTGGCACCACGGTTTGGCAGCTGCCCAGTGTCACGTATTTGGTAGGAACACGAGCATGCCTACAGAAAACAAGAGTGGCAGGCATTCATTATCCACCACCGGCTCCAGAGTTTCTTGTACAGCCCCGTTTCGATCTACAACTGGCAGGAACAAGCTATCGTCTCGGTCCCTACGTACACAGATGCGATGCTCTGCGAAGGCAAGGTGGACGAGTGAGAGGGGAGGGGAAGCTCCGATACAATGACGTAATTGGCAGTCGCCGCCTGAACTCCCGCGTGAATTGCTGTTAGTTGAAGCTTGTTGCTGTCTGGCCATTGGTCTGCTGTCAATCTCTCATCCCTTCTCTGCCCTCGACAAACGAAGGCCGGCATCATCGTTTGCTCGTGTATCCTCCAGTCCCGTCACATCATCGTGTCACAGGCCAAAACCAAAACATCTTTTTCTGTGCCAAAGCAATGACGTCATGCTGCCGTCCCTAGTGACATTTTGGTGTTGGGCCCAGACCATTGGCGCCAAGACGCGCTAACATGCTAAGCTCTCTCGTTCTCCTAACCCTCGATCAGAAGAAAGAGATCCAGAACAAGCTGTCGTGAGCCAGATATTTGGATGGTAGATGGATGGCAGAAATTTGTATTTGGAAGCTGTTGTTCTTTCTGTTGATCTTGTCTATTACCCCACGATGACTCTGGATTAGTGTGAACTGCGGAAATGGAGTCTGATACTTGTTGGGGAGGGGGAACCTGACGGGTAGCCGAGTGTGATGCTGTGAGGATTTGCGACCACCGTTTCAGTCACCACTCATCTCGGTTCACCTTCAACGCGTGCAGAATTCAGGGTCGTTTGAGAGGTCATCCGATATCGAGATGCCACGTTATGCTCTGCAGTCACCTGTGCAGGGAATTTTCAAGTGTCTCAAAAGATGTTTGTACTCGGCAGGAATAACGGGATGGACTGATATTGATGCATGCCAGGGCACATCTTGCACTGAACTTCTCAGCGAGGCAGATGCTCATTCGAGCATCGCTGAACCACGATCCTTCACAACTGACAACAAAATCGCGAATTTTGTTTCTCTTTGATTACTTTGGCGCGCTATGAAAGTGTTTTTTTTTTTTTTTTTTTTTTTTTTTTTTTTTTTTTTTTTTTTTTGGAGATGATCCATCAATGGTTTCTTCTCACGAAAAAAAAAAAAGAAAAAAGAAAAACAGGTTGCGATCCATCCCTGATCTGGTCAAAGCCCAAATCATCTACCTAATCCAATAATGTTAAGGTTACTAGAGCATCTCGAGAGTCGTTTTCACAGGATCCCCTGGCGTTCTATAGTGATATTTCCTTCTGGTCGTTTCAAGTTTTGACATGCCACGTATTGGCGGTAGTGAAGAGGCAGAGTGGTCGTGTTGTTCTAACCGAGTAGTTCGGATTTGTCGGATACCAACTATGAGGGATGGTGCTCTAACGTGGATGCCAGAATCATGCGGAATTCTGAAAAAAAATGTGGTGAGAATTCAAAGTCATTGTTTAAACCATGAGAGATCTTTCTAGCAAACGACCTACACCTGGATCTTCATTCAAGCTGCAGCTCTTTATCGGGTTAGTTCTGAGGGCCAAGCTTTGGATCATCAGGAGCGAGTTGCAATCTGTTGTACTTTGTACAGTTCGCATCTTGAGCCACGAAGAAAAGGTGAGTAAATCCACATTATGGAAGAAGCGTTCGAAAATCAATAAATGAGGTGTCGTAGAAGCAGCAAACCAGCAACTCAAGGACGAAATGCAAGACGACATTGAAGAATGATCAAAATCCAACAACAGGTTGTCACAGTGTCAACGGACCATATACGGAAACCCGCGAAATCTGTTTGAGGCTACACCTAACATTTTAGTTTTACTAAGACGATATCAGGGCAGCGAAACCGGCGGACCGGAAACCATTTCACTGCCTAGAATGAGAGTACCGGGTAGGCAACATGACAGTAAGTCAACAAGAAGGCCAGCAAACATTGTTCATCAGAGTCATTAAGCCTCTGGGTTGTCGAGTATTTGGATGGCATGGCAAGTCATCAGAGTAAAACGCTTCATTATGATACAAGACATGCCCAACCCAACGCTAGCTCTATTGCATGCCGAATTTCTATGAACCGTCCATGACCTAGTTGTTTGCCGCAGTTCGGTCGTCGCTTTCAGTACGGTAGGAAATGCAATAACATTAAGCGTAGAAGTTGACAGTCTGAAAGCCCGGTCAGTAAGCAGCACACAAGCATTGGTTCTCTTAGGGAAAATACTCACTTCCTTCTTCTTGGCCTGCACCTCAGAAATAGCGTCAACGTAGTGTTCGTGTCCAATCTGGTTCTTGCCCATACGGAGGGCAATCATGCCAGCCTCGACACACACGGCCTTCAGCATGGCACCGCCAAACTCATCCGTGCTGCGTGCCAACTCGCCCCAGTTAACGCCGGGGTTGACCTTCATCTTTCTGGAATGAATCTTGAGAATCTGTGCGCGTGCCTCCTCGTTCGGAAGAGGGAACTCGATCTTGCGGTCGAGACGACCGGAACGAAGCAAAGCAGGGTCGAGGACATCGATACGGTTCGTCGCGGCGAGGACCTTGATGCGGTCGTCGGAAGCGAAACCGTCGAGCTGGTTGAGGAGCTCCAACATGGTTCGCTGGACTTCACGATCACCAGACTTCTCGCTGTCGAAACGCTTGGTACCGACGGCATCCAACTCGTCGATGAAGATAATTGACGGGGCCTTCTCTTTTGCTAGGGCGAAGCAGTCCCTTACGAGCTTGGCACCGTCTCCTATAAACATCTGCACTAGCTGGGGACCAGCAAGCTTGAGGAATGTAGCATCTGTCTGAGCGGCGCAAGCTCTGGCGAGTAGAGTCTTGCCTGTTCCGGGAGGTCCGTACATCAAAGCTCCTATTCCAGAAGTTAGCAGCAATACCACAGCAGCGAGTTTCTGCTCCATCTTGGTAAAGACATACCCTTGGGCGCCTTGATACCGATCTTCTTAAACCGTTCGGCTTCCTTCATAGGCCACACAATAGCCTCGACAAGTTCGTCAATCTGCTTGTCAAGACCACCGACATCTGTGTACTTCTCCTGAGGCTTCTCGTCGACCTCCATGGCCTTGACTCTGCTGTCGTACTCGGCGGGCAACGTATCCAGAATAAGGTACGAATCCTTGTTGACACCGATGAGATCGCCGGGCTTCAACTTCTCGGGGTCGACCAAGCCGATGAGAGGGAGGAAGATGGTCTGTCTGGTAGATGTCTTGATGACTGCCGATTTACCCACGCGCGTGGCATCCAAGTCGATGTTGGCGCCCTCTTCGGAGGACTCGGCGGTCGGGTCAAGGTCCAAAAGTTCAACGACATTTCCTACGAGATAGGGAAGTTGTCTGATGAGGCCAGCGTTAGTAGGGGAGGTTTGGCGGCTACTGAAGGCAAGCCTTAGGGGAGTGTAGGGGATGTTTACCGGTTGTTGGCAATCTTTTCTTGGTTCTCCTTGATCTTGTCCTTCATGGTAGCCCTCTCATGTGATAACCGCTGGTATTCGCTCTTCATGATTCTGGCATCGTTCTCGAGGAGGCGCTTCCGCATCAGGATGTCCTCTGTGCTCAAACTCAGGATCTCCTCATCTAGGATGTCATCGGCCTCGGGCTCGGCATCCTTCATCTCGGCATCGCCATCTCCCTCCTTCTTGTTGTTCTTATCCTTGTCCTGATCCTTCTTCTTGTCCTCGCGCTCACGGCGATCAAGGTCGTCGAGTTCCTCAAGGGTCGACATGGCTGACGCAGGCGGTTGCGAATGTGGGGTATCGGTAAGGAAAGTCGCAAGGGCGCAGAGGTCGGGTTACTGATCCTCTGTATGTAACCTCCACGGAATTTGAAAACGACGACGTGGAGTAGTAGTGGTGGTTGGTGATAAAAATCGCCGTTGTTTGCGTTGTGGTTGGGAGACCGTCGGTCGTGCTTGTAGTGCAGTGCTGCGTGGATGGTGGCAGTTGCGTGGTCGACATGCGGCACAGAGCTTCGAGTGCTGTCGGTGGTTGACCAGGAGCTGGGCTGCAGGCAAAAGCGCGACGTAACAAGGCCGGGTACCTAACGCCCCACAGTATGTACTTCAGCTCTAGACCCCACTCTGACCCCAGAGTGAACCAGCCACAGCTGACTAACCACGCGGCATCGGCCATCCAGGTTCACGGTTTCAACTTATTCAGTCGAGTTTCACTGCACGATCATTCATCTGCTGTGCTTCATTCAATTTCGATGTTCATGAAGTCTTAAACGGAGTTGACGAAAACCCTTGAGCTTGTCCCTTACGGGGAAGCAGCTCGACAACATAGGAATTGTTTCGATATATCCCTCATCGGACTAACAATGTACCAGCGCATTACATTAGAGTACGAGAAGGCTGTATTCACGCCTCTCGTCAAGTGTCAAGTATCAACTCTCCCAGGACAACCACGATGCCGGACTGATCCTGATGCCTTTGAGCCCCAATAACCACAGTCGTCTACTCGTCGTCCAAGATCCCGCTTGCTATCGGCCCAAAAATCGGTACTTCGTATCTGGAAACCAAGTCAGCTCTTGTCCACTTGTTTGGATCCCGAAAGACATACCTGTCTAACGTGTCGGCGTCCCTATAAGCATTAATGACCAGCCATCCTACCAACGCCAAATCCGCCAGAAATAACAGCCAGCTAAGGAAACTCGACCAAGAAATCAACAAATGAAGCACAAACAATGCCGTAAAAAGCAGACTGGACTGCCATGCGTGGAACCTAATCCCCAGTTCTACATGTCAGCAACGCTAACTCCTCGACCATACCGAGAGATGGGTCTTGTTTCACTCACCTGACATAATCACTCTTTCGCTCCAAAATCAACAGCAAAATCGCTCCCAGCGGCGGCACTGCCAAATACGCCAAACACGCCTCATAATCCAGCCTCAGTCCCAAGCTCGTATCAAACTCGGACACCATCCCCTCTCGAGCGCCCAGCGCATTGAAATACTCGCCCATGCTTCCTCCTACTCCTCCTCCTCCACCACTGCCGTTCCTACTGCTGAACCCAATGCCACTGCCGATCCCATTGGCGGTGCCGGGAGTAGCACTCGGACTTTGATACCTGCTGATGCCCTCACCCGACCAAGCACGATGTGGTTGTGGGTGTAGAAGTGGCGGAGGCGATACTTGCGCTGGGCGCTGTTGGTACTTGTTTCCGCTGCCGGGGGAGTAGGAAGAACGGCGGCCGTAGTCCCATGATGTGCGTGGGGAGGAGGTGGAGTCGGGTGGTGAGATGGTGCGCCCATGCTCCGGGGGTGCGGCTTGGTAAGGTGCAAAGTCCATTGTTTTGTTGTTCTTGTTTTGCCTTTCTCGATACGGTTGTGATGCGTAGGTTAAGAAATCTCGTGTGCGATTATGGGAATGCTCGTTTCGATTCGCCAGATCGTGTCGTTGTGTCAGGTATGTATCGTAGCCTTGCGTGGTGGTCCCGTAACTCGTTATCGTCTCTTCGTTCCGGCCGTTGCTCGTTAGTGGTTGTATTTTGGAAGTGGCTGTTGCTCTGCCCGCGGTTGGTTTTGGTATTGGGTTCAAGTTGACGCAGATTGCCGTAGACGACGTATGTATGGCAAAGACGACGTATGTATACTCTGCGAACGAGAGATGAGAGTTGGAATGGCACAATGCTCAAGTCCGTATCTCGAAGCAGAGGGTGGGTTGATGAGAGGTTGAGTGGAGTTGAAGACAGCGGGGATGATCGAGATTCGTAGATAGCTTGTGACTGATGGGGTTTGACGAGCGGGAAGCTTTCGGGAGGGGAAGGAGTCGGTAGCTCAGCGGCACCTTTTAGTGAGAAGCGGCCAAGATCATCATCGTGAAGATGCAAATGCAAGCTGTCGAGGCGCGATGCGGCCCTCGTTCGCTGCAATGTGATGTCAGCACAGGAATAGAGTCGTGTAGGATTTCCCAACGGTCAATTCTTGAAATTCGTGAGTGGTTTTTGTAACAGACAGCAGCCCATGCAAAGGCAATCTAGCAATTATGCGTTGCAGAGTCCAGTTCCATACGGTCGCTTGATGGTCTTGGTATTCTGTCAGTGAACCATTGGGAGGCAGCAATGACCAGAAGGGAAGCGAGTGCAGGGGTGTACACTAGCAAACGACTGCAGGGACCACCTCCCTTACACCGGGCCTTTAACATCAGCGGGGTCGAGCCTAGCTAAGGTAGGTAGTACAGACCTCACTTGATCATCAAGGTCCTCTGCTGAGAACCCGAACCTGCACCGTTGTCCGAAGAGATCGTCAACCCACCAGTCAGCATCAAACACAAACGAGACACTGCCAGATTATTTGCGCGTTTACATATGTCTTTGTTACATTGTATTGTACACCAGATCTTTTGTACTTGATCTCTTATAAAGTGGTAGCATCGCATCAGTAGGTCCGGCAAGCCTGAGGAATGTAAAGCACCCAGACCTTTGGTGTTTGTGGAGTAAATTGGGCTCCGATATTGCCGTTTGTTCGCATTCGACTTCACGCTGATCAGCTCTACTCCTTCTTCTCCTCCTCGCCCTCGCCCTCCTTCTTGGGGTTCTGCTCCTCCTCCAAGACACTCCTGCGGCTCTCCATGGTAAGCCAGAGGCTCTTGCCAGCACCCTCCAAAACGCTGGTAAGACCCATGCCGGCGCTCTGCAGCATGTGCACGAGCTGGGCGCGCAGACCCTCGATTCCGTTCTCGATGCCGCCAACCCACTTGATACCGTCGTAGTCGAAGGCCTTACCCTCGATGCGGCCACCGACTAGCAGGAGCTTCTGCAGACCAGACTGGCAGGTAAGGTCATAATAGCCGGGGTTCTTCTTCCTGCTGGGCGCAGGGAAGGCTGGAGGGCTGGGGGCGAGGACGCTCAGGGCAGCGCCGAGATGCGCCGGCGACACGGAGGGCAGGGTGAGGATGGCGACAGGTCCGACGAGCAGAGGAGCGAGCTGGCCGTAAACGGTCTTCTCAACAGCCTCGGTGTTCTTGGTAGCCTCCTTGACAGCCTTCCACGCATGCTTCGACAGATCGTGGTTGTATGTAGCGGGAACCTTGGTGCCCGTAGCTGTTGTAGCCGTGGTGGGCTCCACTGTAGAAGGGTCGAAGAACTCAACGGTCTTGAGCGCAACATCGAAGATGCGCGTACGGACAACCTGGAGGTGGATCTTGGAAGTGATATCGGGAGCGCCCTCTGGAACTGGAACGTTGCTCAGGGCAAGGCTAAGCTCTCGCCTTATCGCAGCCCACTCGATAGCGGTCAGGTTGTTGTGTTGGAAGATGAGCATCAAGGGGGTCGAGCGGAGCATCGAGGTGTAAGTGCGCAGAAGTTGCGACTTGCGCGTATCGACGGGACGGGCGCTCGGGGGTTGGGTGGGCGGCACATAGTCGTCGGGTAGCCTGAGGTGACCGGCGGCGGCGGCGCGTTGTGGTGAGGCAGTCGAGAAGGCGGATGTGGAGGTGGAGGGCACCAACAGGGCGGCCGACCTGGACGAGATTCTGGAAGACTTGATGGCAGAACCCAAGCCGCGGACGGCCGGGCGACTTAGTCTGAGAGACATTCTTGAATCACATTGCGTTAATCATAGAGGACGCAGACTGGGGTCATCTCCGGGGGGCCGGAACTTACTTGTAAAAGGAGTGAACAATGTCGCGCTCCGTCAGTCCCCCGGATTGATAAGTCCCAGTCCCCGTAATCGCGGCCGGGCTGCTGGCGAACAGAGTTCCCGAAATTTTGGCGCCGCGTCGCCAATGCCGGAACGCACTGACCACCCGGTCTCCCGCTCGCTGTAAAATCAAAAAGTTGCCTGCCGCATCTTACTCCAAATGCCAAGAGTTGGAAGCAACTCACCGCCCGCTAATTCTGCCAGCCCATTCAGGCTCATTTGCGGTTGTGATCTGCGGCTGCTGGGGTGCTCAATGCCTGCATATCTGCCCCGCTGATGCCCGTCGTCGCGGGGCACTCTGGCAGCATTCGATGCCATCATTGGGGAGAACAAAGCACACTGTAGAAAGCTGCCCATCATTCCCACCAAACCTTGGATGGTATTCCCGCTGCGCCTTTCCGATCCACGAAATGAGTCAACAACAGCCAGACTTTACTCCTTCCACAGCTCCCAGGAAGCCGGCATCATTCAATTGGCCTCCCTGACCAGCCTGACAGCTATTGCGACCAGGCAAACAATTCTGATCCCGGCAGAAACTCCATATCAACATCTCCAGAGACATGTCGGCGCAACAGCAACAAGCGGCACCGGCGACCGCGACTGCGGCTGAGGACCTCCCGGATGTCAACATCAAGAAGCTACTAACCCGTCTCTGGCCCCTCGGACACCCCGACCCTGTGACGCCGGACGAGATCGCCCATGCCATCTCTTACTTCTTCACCAACCAAATTTCCGATGTCCAGGCCGGCGCGCTGCTCATGTGCCTGCACTTTACCGGTCTGGACCGCAGTGCCGAAGTGCTATCCAAAACGGCCCAGGTGATGCTGAAGGCCGCTGCCCAGACCGACCTCAACGAACTACGTCAAGTCATTGAGAAGCGCGGCAGACAAGAAGGAGCCTACAACGGCGGCCTCGTACGTTTTTCCTCCTACACATTCAGTCATCCCAGTCCCTTTCGTTGTCCCGTCCCCTTTTCCCTCCTCACCCTACTAGCTCCCTTACTGACCACCTCCTCGATTCTAGTGCGACATTGTAGGCACAGGCGGCGACTCCCACAACACCTTCAACATCAGCACCACCTCCTCCATCCTCGCCTCCTCCTTGCTACTCGTCGGCAAGCACGGCAACAAAGCCTCAACCTCCAAGTCCGGCTCGGCCGACCTTTTGGCCTGCGTCCCTCCCCGCCCACCCCAAATTTCTCGAATCCGCCCCGACACCGTCTGCTCGCTCTACTCCCAATGCAACTACGGCTTCCTCTTCGCGCCCGTCTTCCACCAGGGCATGCGCCACGTAGCCCCCATCCGCGCGCAGCTCCCTTGGCGCACCATCTTCAACCTGGTCGGCCCTCTGGCGAACCCGCTGGACGCGCTCGACCCGGCCGTTTTCGCGGGTGAAGGTGGAAAGGACAAACTGGTAGAGGCGCGAATGATCGGATGCGCGCGCAAGGACCTCGGTCCCGTATTCGCTGAGGCGCTCAAGATGGGCGGGGCGCGCAAGGCCATGGTAGTCTGCGGCGACGAGGAGCTAGACGAGATCAGCTGCGCTGGACCGACGCATTGCTGGACGATCAAGCCCGCCGAGGAGGACCCAGAGGGCGAGCCGGTGGTGAACCATTTCTTGCTTCACCCGAGCGACTTTGGGTTGCCGGCGCATCCGCTGTCGGAGGTGTCGCCGGGTAAGGAGCCGATTGAGAATGCGGCTATTTTGAGCAAGATTTTGAACAATGAGATGCCGGATGATGATCCCATCTTGCACTTTGTTTTGATGAACACTGCGGCGCTGTTTGTGGTGTCGGGTATCTGCGAGGCGGACACGAGTGATATGGGACATGGTGATGACGGGCAGGTTATCAAGGAGCGTGGACCAGGAGGTGGGCGTTGGAAGGAGGGTATTAGGAGGGCGAGATGGGCTATCAAGAGCGGAGAAGCGGCGAGGCAGTGGGCCAAGTTTGTGGAGGTCACGAATAGCTTCAGCGCATAAAGTGCCAGTGTTATGGTCTTGTCATCTGGTTAAGTACAGATGTGGATATGTAATTGTGGTGATGAGAAGGCTACAAGCCTGGCTATATTGCATATTTTGGTTTCGAAAGCCCCAAATCTGCTCTCCTTCCGTCGTCTTTTCGTTCCCGCCGTTGTACGTAAAGCTATGATTTTCCCCAAGACATATTTCGTGAACATCATCCTGCGTCTAACAGATTCCTACAAGTAACGTCAATGCCCCGTGCCCCTATGTGACCCTCTACCCCGGCCGTGGCCACCGCCTCGACCACGTCCATGCCCATGCCCATGCCCATGTCCACGTCCACGGCGCCGATGGGAATTATGGTCATTGGTTGCCGATGATGAAGCCCCTTCGGTCTCCTATCTCGAGAGGACCCCCCTGACAACTCCCTGCAACGTGGGCTTACCGTCGATTAACAGGTCGTAGATTCCGGTCTCCGCTCCCGTACCATGCTCCAACCACTTGACAAGCAAGTCATTGCTCTCCCTAGGCTTGACACTATCATCTCTCGTTCCAACCGTAATATGCGCAACACGGTTTGTGCACTTCCACTTTGGCTCTGCAGGCTCACTGCTATCGGGATTGGCGTGTTCGTCCCCGGGTCTGGGGATCAAGCGAACCACGATAGCCATGATCCGGTCGTCATAAACCACACGCTCAAGCTGGACGTCGATCTCTCCGAGCTTCCCGTCTGGAGAGTTGGGTCCTTCAAGCTCGTTGATGCGCAGATATCTATCCCAGAGCTGCGGATTCTCCTTGGCACCAGCCCTGTGCATCAAAGTGACGTGGAATTTGGGTTGTACGCGGCGAGTGCCCTGGAGCTGCTTGAAAAAGCGGGATTGCTCCGGGCCAGCAGCGGCAAACGCCTTCTCAAGAGTGTTAAGCACATCCTTGGTCGTCATGTCGACGGACATGTACTCCAGGGGTCGCTTTTTCTGCTTCTGCTGTTGCTGCTGACCGTTCTGCTTAGGCTGGTTCTTGTTCTTGTTACTACGGTCGGGGATGACGTGACGCAAATCAGGCTTGTAGCCTTCGAGGGCATATTGGATGGCTTCGTCCATTTCTGCTGCAGAGGGGATGTTGGGCATGAACTTGGGGTACATGCGATGGAGCTCCTTGATGACAGTCTCCAGGTTTTGTCTGCTTCCTGCCGAAGGATCAAGGTCGATGATATCGTCGAATTCCGAGTCAGGCTTCTGTTCTGGGTCGCAAGGCTCGAAGCGGTTGATGAATCCCTCCATGATGCCACGAACCTTGTTCATATCTGAGGCGGCCTGGATGGTTTGATGATTATCACCTCGTGCAAAGACACGATCCCGGCAAACCTCGCGGACTTTTTCGAGATCATTGTGAACGAAGTGGAGCGCCACAAGCCGGGCGCGGGCGTGCTGTATCTTGACGTCGGTGATGAGCTGCTTACGCTCATGCTTTTGCGCATTGTTGCGGTCGGCATAGACTGCGGGGACACCTTCGTCAAGAATGTCGAGAAGAGCCTTGGTAAAGCGAGGCGGCCGGGCTTTACCGGTGATGTTGTCGTTTTGAACGTGACCCCAGCCAAACAAGTGAGTGAGAGCAAGACCAACAGTCGTCTTTCCGCAGCCGATGGTGGCAATCGGGACCAGGATGATATCGCTCTCAACGTCAGCGGCAGCTCCTCCTCCATGCAAGGCCTCGAAGTTGGCAGCGTCGGAACCCTTGAGGTTTTTGAAAGCGAGAAAATCGTTTCGGAGAGCGATGATCCCGTGGTTTTGGTTGTAGCGCTTGGCCAGCTCCCGATCGCCAGCTAGACGCTGACGCGCGTAGAGAAGATACTCCTCGGTAATTTTGACGTGCTTCTTGAACTTTGGCGGCTTTCCTGCGATGATGGCCTTGGTGCACTCACGCCACTGTCGATACATTAGATAGGGCTCTTCGAACTTGTACTTGAAGAACCAATCCTGGAAGGGCTGCTGCCCAGGCTGGTAAGACATCTTGCAGCGAATGACAAAACCCTCTACATCGCGGCCATCGTGGGCGCCACTTTCAGCTACCTCCTCAAGGAAAGCCTTGACCTCGTCGATAGTGTCAATGACGATCAGGCCGGTTTTGATGAAGCCCCAGTCCTCTGCGAATTTCTGAACGACAGGCGAGGGGTAAGTCATGAATTCGGGAAGGTTGAGGTTCATGCCATGCAAATACAGGCCCGCCTTGTCGGGTCCGTACGCCAGAATGTGCTCCTCAAAGCTGTCGTCGCAGAGTTCTGCCACAGCCGTGACATTCCGTCTCCTCAACTCCCGTGCAAGATCGGCCTTTGTCTTACCAATGCGTGCCAACTGCTCCTCCAACCTGCGCTCACCAGCGCTGGCATGACTGGTTTCGACATCACTACGGTCGCCAGTCGAGTGCTTGCTGCAGACAAGCAGTGTGTCGTCGGCAAGACCACTGACGAATATGATGCAGCCGTTCTCCTTCAGTGTCAGTTCGTAGGGACCCCGCGTCCTGGTCCTGATGTTTTCCCACTTGGTCTCGGTGACCTCGTCGACGTTGAAGAACTTGTCGTAGCCACGGGTGGTAATCTCAGGTGTTCCGTCCTTGTGTCTGGTGGTGAAGAGACCGCGGGCATATGTGGGTAGGTCATGTTTCTTGTAGTCCCAGTCATGGAAGCGCCACGAGTCGACACGGATGTGGTCACGCGACTGGGCAACTTCGTAAGTCGTTTTTTTCACCTTGAAGCTGGTCTTTTTCTTGGCGCCATTCTCGAGCCCGTTGATCAAGGTCGCAACCTCGTGAACATCCTGTGCGACATGAGGGACCTCAAACTTGTCTGCAATTTTGCTGTAATCGGTAGAAGCAGTGTATTTGGCGGCTAGTGGGCCTCGGAGATCCGTGAGTGGTTCGTCCATGGTTGGGTTGTGGTGTGGTGATATGAGGTTGAGGTGCGGACTTGCGCCAGTGAGAGCGCTGGGTGTGGTTGGGGAAGTTTATAGCGGGGGTAAGGAAAGAACTGAGTTTCGGGGTGGATATAACAGCGAGAAGCTTCCCGGCTTTGACCTTGCAATGGAAAGGGTTGGCAAAGAGGGAGCTAGGTGTTCCAACGCGTAGGAGTGATGTTTGAAAAGGCACCAAAATGGCGATCACAGTTGAGTGAGGTGATAGAGGTGATTTAATAATGGGAGGATTTCTTTGCTGTCGCTGCTGCCTTTCGTGGGTCAAGTGCTCGGCCGAATCTGTGAATCGCCTTCTGCGGGAGAAGCTGTTGCAGCTGTCCTGGAAGCCGCGTCTAGGACCTGGGATGGAAGGAGCTTGATGGGACGAAAAAAAAAAGAAGGTGGCTTTGCGACTCAGCCCTAGAGAGATTGTGATGCAATCCGGTAGTCACTACACTACTACCACCAAGAGAACCACATCAGCTAATTGGGCCCAAATTAAACCTTTTTGGCCAATATAACGGCGAAAATAAGGTGATTATTTGGGCTGACAGGCTGCCGACAACGTCTGCGGTTCGCCGACACAGTCATACATTTGAACGGCGGCGATACTGCAACAAAAGGGAGACAAGATATGGGACCTGGTAGATTTTGCACTAACACATGGATTGGGCCGCAGGCGATCAAAGCTATGGTCCTATATTCATCCATGTTTACTGCCCGTAGCAACTCCAACCTCTTGACGTACTGTGTTTGGTGTCGGTGTACTGATTTAGTTCGCCGAGACTCTTTCGAGATCTGCTCAGTTCCTTATTGTTCGTACAACTGGCGTACATACAACTAAGTATTGGCGTATTGCTGATCGACGTTGTCATCAGCTTCTTTATCTTTATCTCCAACTCAACCACACTTAGTATAGACCATCGCCGATAATTTACTTTCCCACTTTCCTGAACCTGGTGGATGAACTGTCCCTTCCGGTTGTGTCAACAAGTCCGTCAGGTTGTACACTATTTTTCACGACAGTAGAGGCAGCCCTACAGCGTTTTGCAAGCGAGTATGCGCAGGGTTCGGGTTAGTTGAGGAGTTCCAGGGGTCCAGAACTGCGCCTGCGGTGCGTCACACGCCGAAGGGAACAAGAGGCGCCAGGACAGGGGCTCGAGGGAACATTGATCGGTAGGATTCCATCGATTGGAGTGCCCCGCATTCCTAGCTTGAGATGTCTCCACCAAAATTTTGTCCACAGCTCTCGCCCAGGTCCGTCCTCTATATACTTGTGACTTCGATTGCGAGTCTGCGTACCTAGTGCATGTAGTAGCTGTGCTTGTCTTCACCAAAACATACCTTTACGCATTATTTTAATACCCGTGAACATCCGAATCCGACTCGAAGACCGAATCCACCCACCCAAGATGTCGAACAACCCATACCTCCTCGCCGCCGATAACCCGGAGGCGTGTATCGCGCTCCTTCGCGAGAACCCCTCCCTGGCCTCGGGTCAGGACGAGCACGGCTACTCCCTCGTTCACGCCGCTGCCAGCTACAACCACCTGGACCTCTTGCGCACTCTTGTAGGCGAATTCAAAGTCCCAGTGGACCTCAAGGACGAAGATGGCGAGACAGCGCTCTTTGTCGTCGAAACCGTCGCCGCTGCCAAGGTCCTGGCCGAGGAGCTCAAGCTGGACACCACCATCGTGAACGACGAGGGTCAGACCGCGAGAGAGAAGATCGAGGCCGAAGAGGATTATCCCGAAGTCGCAGAATACCTCAGGGGCCTGGAAGGCGAGGCCAACACCACCACCACTGCCCATGGCACGACAAACGGAGTCACGCCAGCGGACCTTCCCCCGGCTCCCGAGGGTCTACAAGTACAGATCGGTACAATGAACGAGGCGGAGAACGCTGGGGAGCCGGATCCCGAGTTCCGCAGGCGGATTGAAGAGCTTGCCTCGAGAGAGGACTTTGAGACTGCCGAGGGACAGGCGGCATTGCGCCAGTTGGTGGAGGATGCCATCCTAGGACCTAGACAGGAATGAGACATTTCGCCATAGAATGCCAGTCACTTTTCACTCATGGCTCTTAATCTCCCACATTAAATATTCCCCCGGCGCTCCTTGGGCCCGAAAGAGCGAAATCTCAGAGTTATCCCCAGCCATGCCCTTGGAGAAGGTCGTCGTGCTGAACGAGAACCAAGTTTTTGACGGGAGCTCAGCAACGAGACTGAGGAGAATCTCCCGACACCAGGACGGAGCAAGAAAGCCCTGCCAAGTAAGCTTGCAGATTTTGCCTTGCTGGCCATCGCCAGGCACCTGATATCGGCAAAGATACGGATCAACCTGGTCGCCCACCTGAATTCGGGGGCTCTGCAGTCGAACCAGTGATAGCCACTCATAGAGCTCGGTAGAGAAATATTGGAGTTCCTCTCTCCCCTCTGGTCCGATTGCGTCAACCGGAGGCTTCAGGGTCGGCAGCATGGCGTCGAGGTTTTCCAGGACACTGGGCTCTGCTGCACACCTGGTCGGAGAATGTGGCGCGAGGGGATCTGGATTGGGGACTGAAGTCACGTTAGTGGGTGCGTGTGCCGTAGGTCACTGAACGAGGTGCTTACTGGTGGAAGAAAGGTTGCAGAATAGCCAAGTGACTGGTGTATTGAAAGCGTTTTTGCTCGCATAGATCAGTCTGTCGAATCCTTTCTTGCCTGGCACCATCGACGAACTCGTGAGGTCGATTTCAACGACTGTAATTATTGGCCTCGTTAGTAGCCATCAAGGACTGGTATACTCCAGCTAGGAAGAAGAGACTTACCCCACCGGGGCTTCAGACCACGCTTTCCTTTCACTCCGTCAGGCTTGCCAACAAGACCTGCTCTTTCATATGCTTCCTTGTCCAATAACATTGTCAAGATACCTGCACCATTACGTTAGCAGAGCGTTCAATGCGGTCTTCACTCGTGTACTATTTGAATGTGGTGTACCATTTCTGAATGTAAAAACGTTGTCGATCCCTTTCCTCCCTTCCGACAGCATCATAACATTCCCTAGCGCATGCTTTGTTAGCTTTCGCTACTGGCTTGGTTTGAAAATTGGTCTCATCCTACCCTTCTTGATGCATTCAGTAAAGAAGTCACCAGATAAGACGTCGTGCAAGGACATGACCACTCGCTGAAACTCAGGTGCTGCCTTTTCATTCAGAATTTTCCGCACAACTTCAAAGGCATCTTGAGGTATGATGAGTTCGACCTGGAAATAGTTATTAGTGGATGATGTCCAACATGAAGGAGAGTGACATACCCTGTTAATGAAGTCCTGGCCTGCAACTGTTGACCATGGCTTGCTTTTGGTTGGTGGCTGATTAGGGTCAAGATGGCCCATTACCCCGTAGGTGACGAAGCATTTCGACGACTGGTAGACTGAAGGCGTCGGAAACGAGAGCATGGTGATTCTGATATAGTCTTTCACGGTGCCGTATGGATGGATCGTCGATCTTTCTGTTGTCGTTTTTGAAGCTGGCCAAAGCTGCGATTAAGGTTCATATGCTGGATGGGGCCAAGCTGCTCGACTGTAGTGGAAATTCAAAAGCTGGGGTATGGACTGTACCGACCCCTGCCGTAAAACCAAGAGATTTAAGCCCCACTTCAAGCTGACAGGGCACCACTCACAGCCCTACCAGATCTGCAAGTCAGGGATCTTATCAATGGATCCACACCACGCTAAAGATTAAACAACACTCCCTCCTGTGTGTTTTTGAGTAACTTCAACTTCAACTGATCACAAAATCTCACCGTGACAACAGGTTGTTGGCCGAGATCATTTTTCTATAACACGACATAAAGAGGCTCATTATTTTTGTCATCACATTTTCCAGCAGACTATGGGTCATAATTGAACAGCAGAGAACCCTACCACAACTCTCTAACCATCCTCTCCATCATGCCCGAAATGGAATATCTCATCCGCTTCTCTCAGTCTCACGAGACTTTTCGTCTCCCCGAGATTGAGGCCCTAGCAATAGTAGAAGGCATCGATCTCAAAGTCATCTCATACAGTCTAGAGGTAAGTCTCTTCAAGTTTCACCCCCTAAATCGGGACACGCCCATGCCAGGCCAGAAGCAGTTGACACATTTCTGCTTCTCAACCCACCATAAACTCACAGCCAATTCAACTTGGACCGCTTAACTAACAACCCACACACAGTCCCCCTTCTGCATAGTTTCCCTCCCCTCCGCCAGTGCCGCCAGGCGCCTCATCGCTCGCTCCATCCTCGTAATCTCCATCCACGAGCTCTGGGGCCACGGCGCCACCCTCCCGGAAGTCCACAGCTCCGTCCGCTCTCACACCGAGCCCCTATGGTCCCAATACTTGTCCTGCTCCTTCAAGTTCACCATCGACTCCTACCAAGGCTCTCGCACCAACGACCAAAAACTCTCCATCATCAACTCCTTCGCCTACCTCGGATTCGCCGGCCCCATCAAGATGCGCGACCCTGACGAGGAATTCATCCTATTTGAAGACTGGCCGTGGAACTCCACACCTCTCGGCATCCCCGATCCAAAGTACTACTACTTTGGTCGGTACTTGGGTACATCTTCCCGGGAGACGCTGCCCAAGAAGTTGGACCTCAAAAAGAGAAGATACATCTCCACAACCTCCATGGACGCCGAACTGGCCCTGGTCACGGCCAACATTGCCCTGGCGGCACCGGGAAAACTGATCTACGACCCCTTCGTCGGCACCGGTTCCTTCCCGATTGCCTGCGCGCAATTCGGCGCTTTGACGTTTGGGTCCGATATTGACGGGCGCAGCATCCGAGGTGACGAGAAGAAGAGGACCCTGAGGGGGAACTTTGAGCAATACGGCCTTACCCAAAACTTGGGTGGGATGTTCACTGCTGATTTGACCAACACGCCTATACGCAAATCTGCCCTTGGCACTTCCACTTCTGCCTCCTCCCCCGCTGGACAACCAAAAAGTGACGGGGTAAGCGGCAGGATATTCGACGCGGTAGTGTGCGACCCGCCCTACGGGGTGCGCGAAGGGCTGAAGGTGTTGGGGGTCAAGGACCCGGAGAAGTGTCCGTGGGTGATCCCCAAGGGCATGGAGATGTACAAGGATCCGGATTTCATCCCGCCTAGGAAGCCGTACAGCTTTTTGTTGATGTTGGATGATATCCTGCAGTTCTCGGCGCAGACGCTGGTGGATGGGGGCCGACTGTCGTTCTGGATGCCGACGGCGAATGACCAGGATCAGGAGATTCCGGTACCGCAGCATCCTTATATGGAGGTTGTGGCTGTTTGTGTGCAGGACTTTAACAAATGTGAGTTGGCTAACATTCATCTTGATATGTTAACAGATGTACTGATTGTGATCTTATTCTAGGGTCCCGACGACTAATAACATATCGCCGTATTCCCGATGCCCAAGTTGAGGCTGCAGCCATCAAGGCATATGAGCAGGCCAAGGCAGAACGGGCCGTCGAAGAAGGCAAGACGGCGGACGACCTGAACCCTTTCCGTAACGCCTACTTCAAGGGGTTCAAAAACTGATTTCATATATCAACACTCTGCCTTGCCAGCTTGTTGTACGGCTACGCATGTGACACACATATGTGTACGCTCTTCCAGTTGTGTTCCATTCAGATACCCCCTTGAAGATTTAGACATGTACAAGAAATGAGTCTCTGCACCGGACAACCTGAGATATGGCGGATCCTGCTTTGACTGGCATTCGTCCACCTTCGGTTCCCGTTCATGCTGACTCTACGCTTTATACGCCATGCCTCCACCTGATGAATGATGAAGAACCTCATCATGGCTTATGGGACTAAAACCCCAGGCCTTGTTACTTCCTTGACCCTTCGCTGACTCCTTGTAACAATGCGTGCGTGTGTGGTATGTAAATGTCCTCCCTCGAGCGTCTTTGTTGTCCGTCAAAATAGACTGCGCTCATACCCCTCAAAGAAACCCACAACATGTCAAATTAGTAACAACTGGTATCAGACCCCGATCCCGATCCCAAACCAGATAAGCAATAACAGCAACATAAGAAGCAAATGACATCGTGCGACGGTATGAAGACAAAAAAGCCGACTGATGCAGATGTGAACCCCAAAAAAGACAACCGTCCACCTGGATCGCTCGTGAGTGGCCCTCATTCACTGTTGGGTCGCTTCTTTTGAGTATTCATTCGACCCTACCCGCCCAAAACCACCTTTTGTCTGGGCTTAATTATGTCTTGGGATCATGTCCCTAGGACCATATTCCCGAGGGCCTGGGTCGAATTTCAGCCCTGTCAAGGCCGCGGAATTTTGCCGCCCTTCCGATGTGACGTCCCTGCGTCGTCTCATCTAAACTCCATTGCGCCAAAGCACCCTTTGTCTTCGACGTGATGCAGATCTAATTGTTGGAACCTGCGATTAAACGCACAACATTAGCAGCAGCCCTCTCATATGCTTTTGACCAGACAGTGGTAACGGCTTACTTTTCGCTCTTGCTGTGAAAGTAGATTCCTTGAATTCTCCCGTGGATCTGGTTGAAGCAGATGTAGTAGAAGCCTTCAAAACTAGCCCCGTCGATGGCTTTAACACGGTGGTTCGGGACCAGAAACTGCTCCTTCCATCGCATGAAGATGTTATCTTTCTGTGCCACATCCCTAATGTGGACGCCGCCCCTTTTAGCGACCTTGGCGTAAGGTTTGAACGCGAGAAACTTGCTCCAATGCGAGATATCGATCCTGTCGTTTGCTCCCCATTGTGGGTGTTGAGTGAGGAAGCTATAATGTGGGCCAATGATTTCGCCTTCAAAATATGTCGTCAATGTCGGGTGGGTATCAGTAAGACCTAGACAAGCGGCTGCCGGTTAGCAAATTCCGTCCCCTTACTTTTGCCTTTTTTATTGTAACACAAGAAGAGGTTCCTCCCGCTACGTACCCTGAATCCGCAGATAGCCGCACAAGAAGGACTCGCGGAGATCAACCTGCTTGATTTCCACCTCCACGTCATAACGTGATCTCTCCGACTTTTGCATCCCCGAAAATTTACTGCCTGGGCGAAGATAGGATGACGGCGTGGACGGTGTCAATCTTGTCTGGCAGTACTCGTAGCTGAGCCCTGCGAGTCCATAGTCGTGCATCCAAGGTGTGTCATTGCCAGTCAAGTCGACTTCTTCTACTTCACCAAGACTTGTAGTGTTCGGCGCAAGAAGCTCGTCGCCTTGTTTCCGATTCCTATGTCCATCGCTCACCCCATATGACCTTAATGGCCTTATATTCGACGTGCTAGTCGGCACTCTGTTCGCCGTAATAGTGCGGTTACGTTGTTCGACATGGATAGAACGTGCGGGGTCACTAACGGCCACGGAAGTTTCGTCGTTAATCTCGGGCCGCTGCTTGTGGGCCTCATCTGCGTCCCGGCGGTCGTCTCGCATGCGTTCGGATCCATGATCCATATCCACATCACGGTTCACCTCCGATTGACTCTCCGGGGACAATACGGCCGGTCCCGTTCCTTCGATAACATCGGCCGTGCTTGGTGCTGTTGTCATGGGTATCATGGGTGGTGAGAAATACTGATGGTGTGACTGCGAATGCATTTGGGAGTCATCGGTATCGGGACATGATGAAAATGGGTAAAGGCGTGGAGATGGGGGATCGATTGCGTCGTTGAAAGGCACAACCCTAGGCATGTTGGGCTTTTGTGAATCGGTTCGATATCACTCTGATCTGGCGTCCAAGATCTACTGCGACGTAGACTGCTGTGCTGATGGCAGGACGGATGCGATGCGTCGGCAGGCGTGTCTGGCTGTCCTGCGTCTCGGTGTTGCGGGTGGAGTAAGGGCTTTTGCGACGATGCAGTGGGATGGAATGTCGATGACAGCGGCAGGTGGGGACGACAAGGAAGGAGTCAGACCAAGGATCTGAGCGAGAGATGTGATTGCGAAAGTTGCAAAGCCGAAGCGTCTGGATGTCGATGTGGGAGCTTGTAGGTGTAGTTAGATCCCAGGCTTGAACCAAGCGACAAGATAGATGTTCTCGGGCCCAACCAATGTCGCGACGGGATGACTGTAGTGCGACCTGACCGTCACTAGTACCATCAAACAACCTTGATGGCGGGAGAGATGTCTGAGTGGAGGAACCCCAGGGTCCAGTGCAGCTAAAGTGGATTACAAGACGACTGGAGTCTGGTCCGGGGTGCCATTCAGTGAGAGTGTGTTAGGTAGTAGGTATGCAACGTGTAGCGGTCCGCCACTCAGATCGCAAGAACGAACAGGTCTTACAGGCAAGATGAAGCAGTTAACCAGAAGCAGGAGGCGACAGAAGCGCTGGCAAATTGGCGGCAGTTGACTTGCGTTCGCTGCTGTTGCGAATTCATTGGCTCGATCACCACCAGAAAAGTGAAAACCCAAGAACCGCGGGGTTTCGAACTCCCAAAGGAGGAAAATGTCCAAGTAGCAATGTCCAAGAAAAAATACGTGCTGAGATGCGAAACCAGGTGGCAGGTGACAAGCGGGAAGAGATATTGCTGGACAGCTACCTAGTTTGGTAGGTGTGGTAGCAATGAGATGCAGCTAGGTTATAATATTCGCGGGAGAGGAAAGATGAGGGCAAGGGAATGACGATTTTCTGGGTCGAGTGATGGCGTTCTGCCGTCAACAGTCAAGTTGTATCTGTCTAGCAAAACTCCACGGACTCCTGCCCGCCTTGTTGGTGGGCACTACAATGGCCCCAGGTCCGCTCCCATTTTCCACATTTAACCTTAATTGATGAGGGTGGGTAGGTGGGCGGTTGATGGGCAGACAAAAGATGAAAACTGACTGGCGGTATCGGCCTCCCGCCTCTTGGGCCGCTCGCTTGCGATTGTACCTCTCGGCGCCAAAACAACACACAGGTACAGCATGCGATGCAGCTGCCACACGCCGTGCTGCCAAGCGGGCTGATGTTGACTTCCACTTTGCAGTGCGGGATTGGGAGAAGCGTTGCCGAGCCAAAGAGGTGTCCTACGGCATGCAGTTTGGCGGTGTCGACGGAAGCTTCAGGGGTTCGATAGAGCTTATCGCGGTGGAGATCCTTCACGTCAGTAGCCCCACCGATGTAACTTCCATCTCGAGAGACCCTTCCCGATCCGTCGCACATGCCAGGGCCGTCGACGACGAAGGGCTCCAGGATGGATCGAGTTTCACGAAGCATTTTGTACTACTTGGATTTACCATAAATTGAAGCCATTTCGCATTGGATGTGTCTCGGAAGGAAAGTCTGCCCCGCGTTACTCGTCAAGCGAAAAGTTACACAGCATAACCGGTCTACCGCCAATAAGAGCCAAAAGTCGGAGAGTTGGATCGATTAACTTCTGACTTTGACATGTGCGGGCCTTGTTACTGCTATAAAGTTGGTAGCCCAACCTTATGTCACTTGATCAATCGTGATTCAAGACTAGCCATGGCAGGTCTCTCTTCACACAGAGGTACGAATCAAATTTGTTGTACGAATCGTACAGCGGCATGCATTTGGTGTGCTTCGTAATGAGATGTCGGTGTTCCATCACTCGGTCTCCGCCTGGCAACTGCATCGGATATCTTGCCTCACACTGCTTGGTTGGTCGTCGTCAATAGCTGACACAGGCAACCATGACGACTCTTAGGTTCGGGGGCCAGTGGGGCGGCTGGTCGATAATGTATACGATTGTGCCAGTCCCGAAATTTTCCATGTTAAATCCAGTTTTAAAAAACCCATCTGCGCCGCTAATTGATAGAAAAAAACGCCTTTAGAAAACGCCGCATTATGCCACAAAATCTCTCCTTTCGATGAGTAAGGATATCAAACTCGGGGTATTCGTTCGTGTCGGAAGATTAGATGGGCTTGATCTTGAAGTGCAAGGCAATGAGACTGAACACCAGCGCCTTGAGGTCCTGAACGAGGTAGTAGAAGACGCGCAAGCCTTCTGGGTCGGCCGAGTCCGTAACATCGTTGATCGATCCAATCTTGGCAGTCTATCTCCCGTATTAGCTCTGAACATTTTGCAGAGATCGATTCCGACACTGGCATGACGCACCTCGAATGAAATGTGGTCGTTCCCGAGCCGGATTTCCAACTCCTGCTTTCCGTCTTTGTTCTTGGTCGGCCATTTCTCGTCGTCTTCCCTGTTGGCCTGTCAGCAGCCGCTCCAAGTCGGTCGTTTGTATAAAAGGGTGAACAGGATGTCGTACTTCATAATCTCGCTGTCCTTGATGATGCGCTTGATCTCGTCAATGACCAGAGAGCTGACGCACACTAGAAGAGACCCTCGTCAGTATATGGATATCCACGGCCGGCTAAACAGTGTTTCCTACTCTCTTTCCTGATCAGACTGTCGTTACGGTAGTTGGAGTTGTTGGCATATCGGGCAGTGGCGCTACGTCCGTCGCCGAGGACGCGAAAGTCGAACTCTGTAGTCAAATGGCGGTAGTTTAGCATCGTGGTCGTGGAAACGTGGGGGCTTGCGTCTCGAGGCGCCAATGGCTGAACACACCTAGGAACTCGTGGCCGAAGCGGCCCGAATGGCCAGAGCTAAGTCGGCTGTTAGCATGGTGTTTTCAATGTGTGAATCAAATCCCGTAGGGGTGTACAAACTAGTAGCGCAGATAGAAGGGTTCGTTGGCGGCTGACATGGCTGTTTGTTGCTTCTGTCAGTAGTAGGCTTTGCAAGACAAGAAGCAAAGATGCAGCCAGCGGCTTGGTTCCTGTCGCTTTTGGATGGACAACCTTGAAAGTCGCGCCCGCGCGGCCACGCTCCAGTGACATTGGCGGGGCATACGGCCCCACACTTGACCCCAGCTTGGCCCAGGGGCTTTGTTTGGGCTCCAGGCTGATAACGGGTTCACGAGCCTGTCTGGCAGCTGGTAGTCAGCATCGACACGTGATCCTTCGGCTGTTTTGACAGGCTGGCAGATGGCAGACTCGGCCAGGAGATGGAGGCTTGGTGAGGCCGTAAGGGTGTCGGGGGTCCGTGCTTCGCCGTGTGCTGTTGCGGCCGGCCAGAATGCCACATCTCCCAGGGGCCGTCTCTCGATAGAATTGACCGTCCTATCCACGCTGGCTCTTCCAGACTTCAACAACAAGCACAGGTGATGCTCCGCTCTCTCACCTCGCCGGCGCACTCCAGACAACCCTTTCATTGCGCAGCCGTCTCTTGATTTTCGGCCAACCACGACCCTGTCAGTCCAGGGGGAGGAAACCACATCCAGCACCAAGGCCAGCTCATCGTCACTCTTCAGGAGCTCGAGGCAGCCACTCAGTCCATCCATTTACTAGCACCACGCAATCTACAACGGGTCAAACAACACCTTACCACACCCGCCCCTCTCTAATTCCGATCCCCGACTCCTCTTCAGGACGCCCGGCCAGCTACTTTCTACCAAATTCAATCTCAACTTTAATCTCAAAGACGGCCCGGCCGCCGCCAGCTCTCCAACATGTCGTTCCTCGAAAATGCGTACAGCTTGGTCAAGGACAATGCCGTCGACGGCACCCCAACCGTGCAGGAGCTCAAGACGCAGCTCGAAAAGGGCACCGACGAGACCAAGATCGAGACCATGAAGCGCATTCTTACCATCATGCTCAACGGCGATCCCATGCCCCAATTGCTCATGCACATTATCCGATTCGTAATGCCTTCTAAATCCAAGCCCCTGAAGAAGCTTCTATACTTCTACTATGAGATCTGCCCCAAGCTTGATGCCCAAGGGAAGCTCAAGCAGGAGTTCATCCTAGTATGGTAAGGCATTCCGTGTCCGTCTGGGCGTGCTGGCCCCTCCAAGCTGACCAGCCATTGCCTCGCAGTAACGGCATCCGAAACGACTTGCAACACCCGAACGAGTACATTCGAGGCAACACGCTGCGCTTCCTGTGCAAGCTGCGGGAGGCCGAACTTCTCGAGCCTTTGCTCTCCTCAGCCCGGGGCTGTCTCGAACATCGCCATGCCTATGTCCGAAAGAACGCCGTCTTTGCTGTCGCTTCCATTTACCAGCACTCCCCGTCGCTTATTCCCGATGCTGCGGACTTGATCTCCACGTTCCTCGAAGGCGAAAGCGACCCAACTTGCAAGCGGAATGGCTTCGCCGCCCTTGCCAGCATCGACCACGACAAGGCTCTTCTCTATCTCAGCACCGTCTTTGACGGTATTCCCAACGCAGATGAGCTTTTGCAGTTGGCCGAGTTGGAGTTCATCAGGAAAGATGCTGTTGTCAACACCCAGAACAAGGCGCGCTACCTCCGTCTCATTTTTGACCTTTTGGAAGCTAGTGCCTCGACCGTTATCTACGAAGCGGCCTCGTCGTTGACGGCTCTCACCAACAACCCTGTCGCTGTCAAGGCTGCTGCCAGCAAGTTCATTGAGCTTGCGATCAAGGAGGCGGATAACAATGTCAAGCTTATCGTTCTGGACCGTGTCGATCAACTCCGCCAAAAGAACCCCGGCGTCCTGGACGACCTGACCATGGAGGTGTTGCGCGTTCTCTCTAGCACGGATATCGATGTGCGGAGGAAGGGTCTCGAGATTGCTTTGGAGATGGTCTCCAGCAAGAACGTGGAGGAAGTCGTGCTTTTGCTCAAGAAGGAGCTGTCCAAGACGGTTGACCAGGAGTACGAGAAGAACAACGAGTACCGCCAGCTTCTTATCCACTCCATCCATCAATGCGCTATCAAGTTCTCCGAAGTCGCCGCTAGCGTCGTCGGCTTGCTCATGGACTTTATTGCCGATTTTAACAACAACTCCGCCGTTGATGTTATTAACTTTGTCAAGGAGGTCGTCGAGAAGTTCCCTCAGCTCAGGCCAGCAATCATTGCGAGACTCGTAGATACTCTGAGTGAAGTCCGCGCCGGTAAGATCTACCGCGGTATCCTCTGGATTATCGGCGAGTACTCGCTTGAGGAGAAGGATATCAGGGACG